GTTTTGCACCAGGGCTTGGAACCAGTTCTTCTTAGCTCAATCAAGGTTGAGGAAGCGACACTGGAACAGACTCAAATTTTTAAAATTTGGGTGAATTAGAACCATAACCGAAATGGGAAAAATTATAGGTGAAGCCCTGCTAGAAACTTAATCTCCCTCTTAGAAAACAAGGGTAGCGTCTGCATTGCATAGCAACCAGATCTCTTGCCCCTTGGATTTTGCGCAGCGTTGGAAATAGTGGTGTCCGGCTCAAAAATGTCGGTTGACTGTGTTGCTTTGAATGTGTGTTGCTCTCCTCAGTCATGGCGATAATCCAGTCTCAAGCATCAGGCTCCTGAAAGGGCTCACTATGCCTCTTCTGGGTCTCCAATTCCTGGGCTTCGACCCATAATTTTTCCTATTCCAGTTATGGTTCTGGATCACCCGAATTTTAGAATTTCGGTTTGTCGTGGCTCAAAGCCCTGGTTTGAACTCGCCTTGAAGGACAGGCCTGGCAATCTGCTTCCAAAAGGTCACACTTTTGAAAACTCTATGGAGCAGTTCTACTCTGCACCCATAGGTCAGAACTGGCTCTACCGCAACTAACAACAAGAATGGCTAAACAGCAAGAAGAATGGCTAACCACAAGAATAGCTAAAATCAGGGCCTAAAGTCCATCAAGTGGGGAAAAGACAGTCTTTTTAACAAACGGTGCTGGCAAAACTGGATGTCCATCTGGAAAGGAAATGAAACAGGACCCATACCTCACACCATACACAAAAACAAATTCAAAATGGATCAAAGACCTAAATATAAAACCAAAAATGATAAAGATCGTAGAAGAAAAAATAGGATCAATGCTAGAGGCCCTAATACACAGCATTAACAGGATACAAACCTTAACTAACAACACACAAACTCCAGAATATAAGCTAAATGAATGGGATCTTCTAAACATTAAACACTTATGCTCATCAAAAGACTTCACCAAAAGAGTAAAAAGAGAACCAATAGACTGGGAAAAAATTTTTGGCTATGGCAAATCCAACAAAGGTCTAATCTCTAAAATCTACAGGAAAATCCAACACCTCTACAACAAAAAGACAAATAACCCAATTAAAAAATGGGCAAAGGAAATGAACAGACATTTCACCAAAGAAGACATTCAAATGGCTGACAGACAGATGAGGAAATGCTCGAGATCACTAGCCATTAGAGAAATGCAAATCAAAACCACAATGAGATAACATCTCACCCCCCGCATTACTGGCACAAATCAAAAAAACAGAAAATAACAAATGTTGGAGAGGCTGTGAGGAGATTGGAACTCTTATGCACTGCTGCTGGGAATGCAAAATGGTACAACCATTTTGGAAAACGATATGGTGCTTCCTTAGGACGCTAGAAATAGAAATACCACATGATCCAGCAATCCCACTCCTTAGGAATATATCCTAGAGAAATAAGAGCCGTCACACAAATAGACATAAGCACACCCATGTTCACTGCAGCATTGTTCACAACAGCAAGAAGATAGGAACAACCTAGATGCCCATCAACAGATGAACGGATAAACAAACTATGGTCCACACACACAATGGACTACTATGTGACGATAAAGAATAACAATGAATCTGCGAAGCATCTCACAACGTGGGTGAATCTGGAGGGCATTATGCTGACTGAAATAAGTCAATCACAAAAGGACAAATATTGTATGAGACCTCTACTATAAAAACTCATGAAAAGGTTTACACAAAAAAAGAAACAATCTTTGATGGTTACAAGGGAGAGTAAGGGTAGGGATGGAAAAACACTAGATAGACAATAGATAAGAGGTAACTTTGGTGACGGGTAAGACAGTACACAATACTGGGGAAGCCAGCACAACTTGTCCAAGGCAGGCCATGGAAGCTCCATAGACACATCCAAACTCCCCGAGGGACCAGATTACTGGGCTGAGGGCTGGGGGCACCATGGCATCGGGAAACATCTAGCTCAATTAGCATAACATAGTTTATACAGAAAATGTTCTACATCCTACTTTGGTGAGTAGCGTCTGGGGTCTTAAAAGCTTGTGAGCAGCCATCTAAGATACCCAGTGGTCCCACACCATCTGGAGCAAGGGAAAATGAAAAAAAAACAAAGACACAAGGGAAAGATCAGTCCAAAGGACTAATGGACCACCACTACCACAGCCTCCACTAGACTAAGTCCAGCAAAACTAGGTGGTGCCTGGCTACCACCACTGACTGCTCTGACAGGGATCACAATAGAGGGTCCCAGACAGAGCTGGAGAAAAATGTAGAACAAAATCGTAACTCACAAAAAAAGACCAGACTTACTGGACTGACAGAGACTGGAGAAACCCCAAGAGTATGGCCCCCACACACCCTTTTAGCTCAGTAATGAAGTTACTCCTGAGGTTCACCCTTCAGCCAAAGATTAGGCAGGCCAATAAAACAAAATGAGACTAAAGGGGCACACCAGCCCAGGGGCAAGGACCAGAAGGCAGGAGGGGACAGGAAAGCTAGTAATAGGGAACCCAAGGTGGAGAAGGGAGAGTGGTGTTGACAAGTCATGGGATTGGTAACCAATATCACAAAACAATATGTGTACTAATTGTTTAATGAGAAGCTAGTTTGTTCTGTAAACCTTCATCTAAAGTACAATAAAAAAAGAATAACTAAAATCAAAGGCTGATGTTCCAATGATCTATTACTATATAACATATCACCCCCAAAACTTAGTTACTTAAACAATTACAATAATTTTATTATCTCTCATGGTTTCTTTGGGTCAGGAATTTAGGAAGGGCCCAGCTGGGTGAGTCTGACCTGGGGGTCACTTCTGCTGTTGTAATCAGATCATGGCTGGATGTAGAAGAGTGGGGACATCTCTCTCTCTCCCTTCACACAGTCTTAGGGTCTCTCCACATGGTTTAGTTTGGGCTTCCTCACAGCATGGCATACTCGGACTTCTTACTGGAAGCCTCAGGGTTCCAAAAGTATATCTTCCAGCTAACAAGGTAGAAGCTACATTACCTTTTATAACCTAACAGTAGAAGTTATGCAGTATCACTTCTGCCACAAGCCCATCCAGATTCAAGGGGAGTAAAATTAGACTCGGTTTCTTGATCTGGAAGTAGCAAGATGCTAGAAGAGTATGTGGGTTGAGAGAGATTGTTGTGGCCATTTTTGGAAAATACAATCCTTGGAAGATAAACCTGGAAAGAAAAGCAGGAGACAGATCATGCCAGGCCTTGTAAGCTATAACCAAGAGTTTAGTTTTGACATGAATTGTGATTGGGAACTGCTGGAGGGTTTAAGCAGGAGTGAAATTCACCAAATTTTGTCTTTAAAAGTTCATTCTAGCAGTTGTGTGGATACGGTTTTTTTTTTTTAATTGTGCTTTAGGTGAAAATTTACAGCTCAAGTTAATTTTTCATTCAAAAATTTATACACATACTGTTTTGTGACATTAGTTGCAATCTCCACCATGTGACAGCACACTCCCTCTTTCCACCCCGGGTTCCCTGTGTCCATTCTACCAGTTCCTGTCCCTTCCTGCCTTCTCATCCTGCTTTTGGACAGCGGCTGCCCATTTGGTCTTGAATATCTGATTGGACTAAGAAGCACATTCCTCACATGTATTATTTCTTGTTTTATAGTCCTGTCTAATCTTTGCTGAAGAGTGGGCTTCGAGAATGGTTTCAGTTCTGGGTTAACAGAGCGTCCGGGGGCCATAGTTTCGGGGATTCCTCCAGTCTCTGTCAGACCATTAAGTCTGGTCCTTTTACGTGACTTTGAGTTCTGTTCTACATTTTCCTCCTGCTCTGCCTGAGACTCCGTTGTGTTCCCTGTCAAGGCGGTCATTGCTGGTAGCCGGGCATCATCTAGTTCTTCTGGTCTCAGGCTGGTGGAGTCTCTGGTTCAGTTGGTCCTTTAGTCTTTGGGCTAGTATTTTCCTTGTGTCTTTGATTGTCTTCATTCTCCTTTTCTCTGAGTGGGATGGGACCAGTTGATGTTTCTTAGATGACCACTCACAAGCTTTTAAGACCTGAGACACCACTCACCAAAGTGAGATGTAGAACATTTTCTTAGTAAACTATGTTGTGCCAATTGACCTAGATGTCCCCTGAAACTATGGTCCCCAGACCCCAGCCCCAGTTACTCTGTCCCTCAAAGTATCTGGATGTGTCCAGGAAACTTCTTTGCTTTTGCTTTGGTCCCGTTGTGCTGACTTCCTGTGTACTGTGGTGGATAGAGAATTTATGAGAAGTGCCGAGAAGCAGAGAGACCAGTCCAGGAGTCCAGGGGAGAGACAGTGGTGGACAGGCCTAGCCTAGGTGAGGGCACAAGAGGGTGGAGGGGTGGGGGGAGAAAGACGGCCAGGTTTCTGACCTGTCCAGCTGTTTCGCTCACTGAGATGGTGAACAGTGGAGGAGAAGTAAATTTGGGACTAGGAGGAGACTATCAGTTCGCAACATGTTGAGCGTGAGAGGCCAGTGACACACCCCAGGGTAGATGTGCAAGACAGGAACTCGGGGGATAAAATTTTGTTGTTGATGTTGTTAGTCGCCGTGAGGTGGCTTGGACTCATGGCGACCTTACGCATAACACAACTAAACGTTGCCGGCTCCTGCGGCATCTTCAAATTGTTGGTATGTTAGAGTTCATTTAATAAAATTTTAGAATAAACTTAGGATAGATAATGATTTCGGAAAGAATAAATAGCGTTTGAAAAGGCACAGGACTGGACGAGATGTATACCCGCCACCCAAGGATCTAGAACTCCCCTAGCCACCCACCCCTTTCCACCGCTGACTAACAAAACTGTCAGAAAGACCAAAACACGCACGCGCACACCTACGTCCATGGGCGGCGCTTAGGCGGAAGCTTCCCGATTGCGCACGCGCGGTGTAAGGCGGTCGCCATGGAGACGCGTGGCCCCGGCCTGGCGGTGCGCGCCTGGAGCGGCGGGCTCAGCGGCAGCCGGTCTTGCGCTGCACCTGCGGGTGGATGGACCGCCGCGGTGGGGCCGGGGCGCCTGGGTACGGCGAGGAGGGCGAGGACGATGATGACGAAGAGGAGGAGCGGGAGAGCGGCCTTGCGGCCATGCAGGGGTCCAGACTGCTCCCCATCACGGGCGGCGCCGCAGAACGGAAGGTGAAGAAGAAAAAGAAGAAGAAAAAGACCAAGGGTTCGGGCAAGGGGGACGGTAAGAGGAGCAGCTAGCGCCGCAGCTTCAGCTCCAGTACCCAAGAGTCCAAGTCTCACAGAGACACATGCCTCAGAAATCCTCCAACCAGAAACTCGCCAATCCCTAACAGAGGTTTTCCATCTCCCCACATACACCACTTATCCCAGCTCGGAGATGCCCCATCCCTCCCCGTAAAGACTGTCCGTGTCCACAGAGACCCTCCCTCAACGAGCACAGACCAGTGAATCGTCATCACTTGGCAGTCTCCCAAGCCTATAGAGACCACCAAATCCCATAGTATACCGCCACCCCCTCCAAAGGCCCCCGCATTCCCGTGAGACTCCTTGATATCCAGAGTCACAAAGACCCTCCAATCCCCATGCACTCCACATTTGCACTGATAATTCTCAATATCCACAAGGACCCTCAACCCCGCATAGAGACCCCCCCACGGAGACACTCCCCATTCCCACACAGACGCCCAGCCCCACATAGCTACTCTTAGCATTACACAGACACAGACACCCTCTTACCTCCTTAATCCCTCCATAGAGACTCGAAATCCCAAACATCTATGCCTTCCCCACAGAAATCTCAAACCCTCCTACAATGATCCCCTCACCCCCACACAGACTGTTCCCAAAGCCAAAGACGCCAAGATACCACATTACAGACATTCAGGCATGTACACACAGAATCCCAGACTCCTGCCATCTGCCTAGAGACCCTCCTGGGACCCTCATATGTGACAGGCTCCTGCCCCCACGCAAATAACATAAAGTATCTTCACCCACACACACCAAGTGGCCAAGGGGCAGCCTCTGACCACACAAACACCCATCACATCAGTCTCTGCCACCAAAATCAAACCCATTGCCATCAATTCCGACTTACGGCAACCCATGTGTTACAGATCCATATGATTTTCTTGGCTGTAGTCTTTATGGAAGCAGATCACCAGGCCTTTTTTCCACAGCACCACTGGCTGGGTTCACACCAACCTTTCCATTAGTAGTTGGGCACAAACCATTTGCGCCACCTAGGGACTGCTACATGCTCTTAAATTCCCAAACGCCGTCCATGACACGCTCTCATGTAACACCTCCAAATAAGACTAAAGCACAGACGAGCCGTCATGCACACACGTTCACAGTCTACACACACACATATACACACAGATGCTAAAGTATACACTCACGCACAGACCCCTCCCAAAGTTCCTGTACACGTGCAGTCACACACGTGCGGGACTCCGTCCATCCTCTCTGTGGACACCTCTTCACGCCCATATGCACATCAACAGCTGCCACAAACCCAGAGTCCTTACATCTCCCCGAGCGCCCTCCCACTGAACCCCAGACACCCTGACAAAGGTACTGGGTACCTACTTTGTGGAGAGAGAGTGCAACAAGGACGCAGAATGCAGGCTACCTGCCACGGGTGCTGGAAGTCTCTGTCACCTGGGCGGTTGGCCTCAGTGGCTTTGGCTGTTTATGCAGGTGACTCCTATTGACCCTGGCACAGCAGCCCTGACCTCCAGAATGGCTAGTCTGGGGCTCAAGTTTTGGATCACTGCCCTTTGTGTGCAGAGCTGACAGCACTGGAAAGACGAGACAGAAGGAATGGCAGCCTTCCCCGTGTCAACCTTGTAGTTTGGAGAAGGGAGAAATGAGGAGATTAGAATGACTTCTTCAGATGGAATCATAATAAAAAGGAAAAAAAATCTGGAGTTTAGGTCAAAACCCCAGTGTGTATCAGCAAAACCAAATTAGGAAATTTGTTGTCTCTTTTTCTTAGCTTCTGCTTCTAGAAATTGCAGTGGTATGTACCTCATACTGTCAGCAGGGGGCACCCAATAGTTTTCAGGGAGTCGGAAGGTATCCCAAAACCAAACCAAACCCACTGCTGACTGTGAGTGGATTCTAGGTCATTTTTTTAATTTCTTCTTCTTTTGTCCGGAGAAGGAGAAGGGGATGGGGGTAGGAAGAAGGCACAGATAGTTCTCTCTCCCAGAACAGAGAAGGATGAGTTGATGAAAGAACCACAACTGGTAGTATTTCATATAAAACAATTCTAAAATACTAGTAATGGTTTAAAAAAAACCCCAGCAGAAGCCACACAACAGAAATATTTCCTGGCTTGGCATAATAGTGCTCGCCTCAGTCAAATTTAGGAAGCATTCCTGTTGTTCCCCATTTCTTCCGTCGTAAAGTGTCTAGACTAGGGGTAGAGTCATAGACTCCCAGGACTGGGAAGCACTTTGGTGAGCATCTGGAGAGGTTAAGTGGGGGGCAGCGTGGCAGAGCAGAAAGAACAGGGCACTGAGAGTCAGGCCTGTATTCAAACCCACTACGTGTCATTGGCAAGTTACTGAAGCTCTTGGAGCCTCAGTTTGCTCACCAGGGAAATGGGATTGAATGATACCCTTTGTCCAGAGGGCTCCATAAACGGTTCCTCTCTGCCCAAGAATAACTTAATCAAAAGCACACAACTGGTAGGTGTGTGGAGAATGGTAGGCTTGGAGTGCCGAGCCTGAGGTAAAGAGGGGCCTCCCCCCATGTGATTGGTGATTCTGGCACCATCCCTGGTAGGCTGAGCGCAGGCCTCACGCTAACACTGCTCATCCGCTCAGCAGATAAACAGCAGAGTCGAAGCCTGAAGAATCAGTCGCTTTCCGCATCTTCTCATGACATCTTAAGTCCCAGCAAAGATCACGGCCTGAAGCAAGAGCACAAACAGGACAAAGAAGACAACAAGCGCATCCTCTCTAACCCCCCCATGGTGAGTCTCCCCGACACTGCCGAAGTAGAAGAGAACCTTTCGCACCAGATCAACGAAAGCCTGCGTTGGGATGGGATTCTCGCCGACCCTGAGGCAGAAAAAGAAAGGCTTCGCGTGTATAAACTGAACCGGAGGAAGAGGTACTGGGTTTTGGCCCTCCAGGGCTTTCGCTCTGACCAGCGTGCTGAGGAGACCTTGGAGAACCTTCCCCCCATCTCCGACAGAGACAGCAGCTCCAGCAGCAGGCCGCCCCCTCTGAAGGCTGACAGCCCACACCACTACTTTGAAGCAAACGTGACTCCAAAGACCCTACACTTGGATTTAGCTCCTTCTCTGCTGGAATGAAAACCGCCCTCAATGCTGACAAGCGTGCGGTTTTATCCTGACCACAAATTTCTGTGTGAAAAATAAAAATTGCTAATAAAAGGAAATCAGACCTATAGCTAAAGGAAGCAGACGCTGGTACGGTAATGAGAGCAACCTCTCCCTGCACCGGGACACCCTTAACTGACAATGAAACCCACAGTTCCTTAAGAACGTAAGCAGTATAATGAACATAGTCCTTTTAAAATTTTCCTTTTTCTTCAATAAACTGGCATCTCTCTTGGTTATTTGACTTCTCATCACAGTTTGGTGTCTGTAATCTGCCCCTCAAACACAGTGTATAGACTGTAAATTCTAAGTCTTAAACCAAGGGGGCAGTGGTGGTTCACTGGTAGAATTCTTGCCTTCTATGCAGGAAGGCAAAAAAACCAAACCCATTGCCGTGGAGTCGATTCCGACTCACAGTGACCTTACAGGACAGAGTAGAACCGCCCCATAGGGTTTCCAAAGTTGTAACCTTTATAGAAGCAGACTGCCACATTTTTCTCTCAAAGAGTGGCTGGTGAGTTCAAATCACCGACCTTTGGGTTAGCAGCCAAGCACTTTAACTACTGCGCCACCAGAGCGCCTCCATACAGAAACCTGGGTTCAATTCCCGGCCATCTGTCAGTGGTGGTTGGTGTGCTATGATGCTGAACAGGTTTCAACAGAGCAGACTGACAAAGGCAGACACACAGACAGACAAGAAACAAAGGCCTGGTTGATATACTTCTGAAAAATCAGCCAATGAAAACCCTATGGATCATAACAGTCTGATCCTGTTACCCATGGGGTCCCCATTGACCGAAGCTAACAATAACAAAGTTTAAACCAACATCATGGGTAAAAACCCTGACATAGTACATGGTTCTATAGGCCCAAGGAAAATGCCCCAAATATCCTGAAGACTTTTTTTTTTTTTTTAAATACATTCCCTGCCCTTACATAGCCTTCAAAATAAGTGGGTTCCAGGACTTCATCCTTTGAGAAGTCCCAAAAGAAATATTGCTTCTCTTATAAATATGGGAATCCCTCACACCCCCAAGACAGCACTGTAAGCAAAGTTCTGGAGCATTAGAAAATACACTACGCTTCTCTTTGTCCTAAGTTACAATTCCTCACTTCCACAAACATTTATTGAGTGAGGGCTGTGTGTTGCCTTATTTTGGGTTCCCCCAGAAGCAGACCCCTGAGTTCAGGATTCAAATGCAAATAGATCGTTTGAGAGGTGACAGAACATCAATGGAGAGGTGGTGCAGGAAGTGGGGACAGCCGATCAAGAAGACACTATTAAACTAAATTTCGGGCTGGGCAACTGGAGCTTAATCCCATGGCGAAACAGTACAAGAGCCACTTCTGAGATTTATCCCACCTGAGGGTGAGGGGGTAGGGTTATTTATACACCCTAAAGGCATTGGCTGAGAGCTGTTTGGGAGGGTGTAATTTCCTGTCATTCCCAGCCTGCCAAGATGGATTGTGGGCCTAAAGGCCCAGGTCAGTTCTGGGAGAAAATAGCCCTTAGGCACAAAGATGAAGCCTGAGAAGGCCAAGGGTTAGGGATGGTCAATACAGGGCCCAAGAGGGACAGAACCAGTTGACCAGTTGCCATTGAGTTGACTCCAACTCATGGTGACTGCAGAATGTCGAGTAGAATCGTGCTCCATAGGGTTTCAATGGCTGATTTTTTGGAAATAGATCACCAGACCTTCTGAGGTTTCTCTGGGTGAACTCAAACCTCCAACCTTTTGGTAAGCAGTCAAGAGCATTAACTGTTTGTACTACCCAGGGACTTCAAGAAGGACAGAGTAGAGGTTTAAGATGAGGTCCCTGCCTTCCAGCGGTTTAAAATGTTTTCAGGTAGGCAACACACACAGTATACACAGGAAAAGTTATAGCCAATACGAAACATCACAGAATGTTTATTTAAAAGTTAAGTGGAAGGGGTCATCCTGGTCCCTGCTATCCCCCGGGTGACAAAGCAGCCCTCTTCTCACCCTGCTTTGAAAGGCCAGTTACAGAGTTTTCACATTTTTGCCATCACGTCCTCATAAAAGACTGAAAGGACTTGGGAAGAGTCCTCCCTTCCCCGGGAGCCTGCTTAGCAGTGGGCAGGCAGGGATCCTGAAGCAGACAGGAATGACCCACCCTATGCTGAGTGGCCTGTCCTCTCTGCTGTGCAGGGAGAGGACTCGCAGCAAAGAGAACAAGGGCTTCAGGCACGGCTCCACGGGAGGAGGGCACAGGACCTTGCCTGATGCCCCAGGGCTCTAGGTCATGACCGAGCAGAGAGTGGAGCAGCTGAGCTAGCATCTCACATGCCCTCTGGATCCACCGCAGTGGCTGGGGGGAGGAGGGCGGGAAGTTGTGTGTGGAAGATTCTGATGGCACACCAGACTCAGGTACCTTGGTCATTTAGCAGTGTCTTTCATGGGAGGGGAGGAGTGTGGGACCTGGGGTCACCTTCCTTCCATGATGTTTGTCGTCTTAGCTAGTACTGCTGTGATAGAAATACCACAAGTGGGTGGCTTTAACAAACTAATTAATTTTCTCACAGTTTAGGAGGCTAGAAGTCGGAATTCAGGGCACCAGGGAAAGGCGCTCTCTCTGTCGGCTCTGGGGGGAGGTCCTTATCTCAACCTCTTCAGTGTTCTTGGTGTTCCCTGGTTCCTTGGTGATCTGCATGTGGCATCAATCTTTCCCCTTTTGTGCTTGCTTCTGTGCCTAATCTGCTCTTTTTATATCTCGAAAGTGATTAGGTTTAAGACATACCTTATGCTGATCTGGCCTCATTAACATAACAAAGAAAACCCTATTCCCAAATGGGATTATATCCACAGATATAGGGGTTAGAATCCCAACACATATTTTAGAGGGACACAATTCAATCCATTAAAGATGTCATTCTGAGACAGTGGTCAAGATTATCAGCTTGGCATCAGAGCTGAATGCATCTTTCCCACCAGATGCTAGCCGTGTGACTTCAGGCAAATTGCTTGACCTCTGTGAGTCTTTTCCTCATCTGAAAATGGGGATGCAAATACCTACCTCACTGTCGTGAGAATCAAATGCAGTCATTACCTAAAGCATTTCACATAGTGCCCGGCACCTAGGAGAAATGTGACCATTACCCTCCAGATGAAGAATGATTCATTTTTAGGAGAACTTGACCAAGGGTCATGCGTGTGGATTACACAGCATGGGTTAATCTCAGCTAGTCTGAATTGACCACATGCTTATCTCCAGAGCTACTGACCCTTGGCCAACACTATGGAATCTATCAACTAAAGATAAATGTTCTGTAACTATGGGTTTGTGAGTTGTTTTGGAGTAGGATGTACCAGCCAGTCGGCATTCTTTGGTAATAACACTTGGGTTTATGATTTGCATCCGGTTTTGGTGGTGCCTAGGGAGTGGGTTTCACCATTTAAGGCCGGTCACATAGCTGGACGCGCTATAAGAGACTTCCACCACAAGCCGACTTTGGGCTTTCTCGTTACCCTGGTGCTTCACCCCACACCCGTAGTGGTCCAAAACCCGGAACAGAGCGCTCCCGTGTGAGCCTTGTTACCATCCACTGTGGCCCCCGCAGGAAGACATATCCCAGGGACTAACAGCTGTGGGATGATGTGGTAGATGGCTCCCAACCATCCCTGCCTCCTGGTATTCACACCCTTGTGTAATCCCTTCCCTTTGAGTGTGGGCTCAATCTGGTGACTCACTTCTAATGAACAGAATATGGCAAAAGTGATAGGATGTCACTTCCTAGATTAGGTTACAAAAAGAGACTGTGGCTTCCATCTGGCACACACTCTCTCTCCCCACCTCCCTCAGAGCTCTCTCTCTCTCTGGTGGAAGCAACCTGCCATTCTGTGGGCTGTCTGAAGAGAGGCCCAGGTAGCAAAGAACACATGTCTCTGGCTAACAGCCAGGGAGGATCTGAGGCCTGCCAATAGCCACATGAGTGAGGTTGGAAGCAGGTCCATCCCCACTGGAGCCTTCAGATGACTTCAGCCTTGGGAGAGACCCAGATGCCTGTCCATAGAAACTGTGAGATAAAAAAGTTGTTTTAAGCCACTGAATCCGGGGGTAATTTGTTACATGGCAATAGATAGCTAATACACACCTGGCCTCCTCCTTCACCAGCAGTTGTGAGTCGGCCGCTCTCAGCAAGCTGCCTTGCCCCTGATCTGAAAGCTGGAAATCCAGAAACCCAACCTCGTCATAGAAGCGGCGTGGTATCCAGGCACCACCCATCATCAGTGCTCAGAGGACTTTTAAGTTTACTTCCAGAAGTGATGCTGTCTCCCGTAGGGTTGAGGGAGCCACTGGGTGACATAAGGGCTGGATAAGACTCTGAGGGTTGTCTACTTGTTCTGCTCATACCTGGAGTTGCACGTAGCTATTTGTGTTTTGTTTCCGTGGCAAGTGTTTTGTGTGCTGCCTCCCACCTTTCATTGCAACGGTAATATTTATGTGGCATTTGATAGTTTCTAAGTTCTTCTATCTTATTTGTTCCTCAGTTCCCTGAGTGGTAGGAATTGTTACCCCTATTTTACAACTGAGGCTTAGAGAAGTGCCTTGCTCCAATCACACAACTCCTAAGAGACCTGCTCTAAGGTCTCCAATTGTCTTTTTAAAAAATATTTATGAACAACTTCTAAATTCTCAGCTCTCTGCCAAGAATATATTCATAACCGTCCCTGTTTATCAGGCTCCTCCGCTGTCCAGGCATGGGGATAGGCCCCTAACGTACGCGATTCCATTTCATCCCCACAACAACTTTGAGGTGCGAGAGTGTTATGGTTTCCATTGACCAATGAAGAAAGGGGCACAGACTGGGAAAATGACCTGCCCAGGGACTAAGAGGAAAAGCTGGGATGTCAAACCCCAGTCTGGCTGGTTCCAAAGCTCCTTGTATCTAAGACATGTTCCCAAGGTAGGTAGGGGCTACACCAGCTCCCAGAGTTCAACAATAAAGGAAA